AAAATGTTTCTCAGGTAAATTGAAACAAGGGTGATATTTCAGCATATCTTAGATAATATGAGAACAAGTTCCAGGAGTGATATGCTGTCACAATGTATTATTAATTTATTGTGAAGAAAAGATTTACACAATACTGCTCGGGACTTCCAATATACATCATGCAACTAGACGTTATTATGATGATGCTGTAAGTATGAAGTTGTGGATTGATGAAATGAATGCTTGGAATAGTGAGAGCCTCATTAAATATTTTGAAGAGTAAGGAATTGATTCAGAAGGACCTCTGAATAAAGAATATTTGTGTTTAATTACAATGAATGCATTTCAGTACAAAGTTGAACCAATTTGGTTGTGATGAGGATTGTATTGATGAAACACATGGCACAAATGCCAATAATTTCTAATTGTATACTTCATCAACTGTAGATGAGTTCAGTTCAGGTTGTCCTGTCGCATTTTATTCTTCACAAAGCAGATGAACTTATATTTAAGTTATATTTTGGGCAAATCAAATCAAGAACTGATCCTTCGTTTTATAATGCAAGGCCAACTGTTATGGCTCCTGTACTACACGAATTGTTATGTATCTGGCATGTGGACTGTAACTAGCATAAGAATCTGTCCAAAGTAATAGGTGGGTCTGAAACCAAAGCACTTGTTCAAAAGACTATGGGTTCTTCTGCAAATTTTCACTGAGCAATTTGACATATATCCTACTACTATTGTCAGATCCTAATATTGTAGCGTTTGGTCAGAATTTTCATTCATCCTACTCAAAATATATATAAAGGGTGTTTCTTAAGTACGTGTAGAAAATTCAGGAGCATGTTGCTGACGTCAAAATAAGAAGAAAAGTTGGTATCTAGGGGTATTTTTCAATGACAACATCAAATTTTATGTTAGTTTGTCTCTTTCGTGGGGGTAGCGCCACGCCATGAAAAGTCATAACTTTCTTGTCCGTACCTATATCACGTTTTATAGTAGAAAAATAGATTTGAAGAACACGTTTGTGTAAAAAATATATTCCTGGTAGAGGTCGCTATAAGAGCAAGTGTGTACGAGTTATTGGTATTTGAAATAATTGTTGCATTTGTATTATTTTTTTGTGGGGTCATTTGAAGGCCTTAGTTTATACGGTGCCAATAGAAAGCGAAAATCAACTTCGTCAACGGATCATTGCTGGATGTGACGCTATACGAAATACACCTGGTATGATAGAACGTGTACGTGGGTCTATGAGACGACGAGCAGAAGCATGCATAATGATGCAAGTTGGTCACTTTGAACAATTACTTTGATCAATTCTCTCAACTGTTTTAGTATAAATTCGGTCCTAATTACTGTTATTATTATTAGTATCAAATTGTGATAACACCCGATTCCTATTTTGAAATAAAATTGAAGAAAAATAATTTGCCTTCCTCAATAAATTAATTTTGAATTCCAACTTCTTGTCATTCCAAACTACTTGCATTGCTTATTTCAAATCCCAATAACTCGAAGAGTTGCTCGCAGCGACCTCAACCAGGAATATATTTTTCACACAAAAGTGTTCTAGAAATCTGTTTCCCTACTATAAAAAGTGATACAGGTACGCACAAAAAAGTTATGACTTTTCAAAAGAATCAAAAGACATGTAGGTGGCGCCACCCCCCACGAGAAAGATAAATCAATATAACATTTGATATTGTCATTGAAAAATACCCCTATATAAAAAAACTTAACTGGAATATCATAATTATTTTGGAATTTATTAACAAAAAACAAAAATAAGAATTCAACTTTGACACTCCGTATCTCAGACTTTCGGACATATATTTATACGAACTTTTCTTCTTATTTTGACGACAGCAACATGCTCCTGAATTTTCTACACGTACTTAATCCTTTGACGCCTACTGGTTTCATGGCGAAACCATTGGAATATTAATTTTTGTTTGAAGCGCGACTGATTTCACAGGCGAACCAGAGTGCGTCATGTCATGTTCATGCTTCCTTCCACCCAATTCCACAGCGCCGGCGCAGAGAAATCAAGAAGGCGTTCAGGTTTGTTTAAATTCTTGAGGCGTACACGTGTGTATCATAGATATACGTCATTTTATCGTGTTATTTGAAGTTGTGCTATAATGGAAGGTAAGTACTGTACGAAATTAGTTATACTAAGGTTCAGTAATGATCAATTTGATATTTGTGAGCAAAATTCACCACCGTTGATCGGGAATTTTCATGTAAAATGAGCTGGTTTCAAGATGAGACCAGTAGGCACTATAGTTGTCTCATTGTTGCAGGTATGAAAAATATGTACAACCTTTGCGATCTAGAGCAGCTCGACCCTGATAGTTTGTATACGTTTATCGATGATATACCATCAGATAATAATTCAGAACTGGGGGATGTGAGTGAAAACGAGGTCGATGAAGAGGCTACATCTTCTACTAATGCTGAAAATGCGGACCAGTTATTTGACCTACCAATGGATATTCTAGAAAATGTTAGCATGACTGTAGATAATGATGAATGGGAAAGTGATGATCATATTCCTCTTGTAGTAATTCAGCGTAGGGCAATGAAACAACCATTTGGACCAAATCTGCTGAAAATTTCATGAAAAATATCAGAAGATTTGAAGGAGATACTGGACCAGATATTGATGCTGAACCAGAAACCCCAACTGAAGTTTTCCTATCTATTTTTCCTGAAGACCTTATCGAGTTGATACCAATTTGTATGCCCTACAAAAATACGGAAATCCATCATCTTTCACTCAAACTAATTGAAAGGAAATGAAGAAATGTTTAGGTATAAATATGATGATGGGGATGAAGAAAATGCCGAGTTACCGTGATCACTGGTCATCTAACCATGTGCTTAGAGATCATTACATCAGGGGTGTTCTCTCAAGGGATCGTTTTTGTTTGGCTGCTTGGGCACTTACATCTGAACTATAACGCTGTTATTCCGACGCGAGATATGCCAAGCTATAGACGAGTCGATGATACGATTCAAGGGGCGTAAAACAATGTATGCCTCAAAAGCCCATCAAACGGGGATACAAAGTATGGGTGCGGGCGGATGAGTCAGGGTTTGCCTGCCAATTCCAAATTTACACTGGAAAGTTGGGCGATTCAACTGGGCGCCAGAGTTGTCACAGATGTGACACGAATGTTGGTGGGCAAAGGACATCATATCTATTTCGACAATCATTTCAATTCTGTGCTTTTCCAAAAACAATTGCAGAGTGAATTGATATATGCAACTGGGACTGTGAGACGAGGAAGAAAAGACTTGCCCGAAGATCTACGAGATGACAAACATATGAATCGATGAGAATCTGATTGGCGTGTCAGTCGATATGGTTTGACATTCCTAAAATGAAAGGACCGCAAAGGTGTACATTTTCTCAGCAATTACGATGACCCTACAAAAGATGCGGGCACCAACAGAAGAAATAAAGATGGTACAAGTCAACAGGTTGATTGTCTACTGCTAGTGGCAAATTACAATCAATACATGGGCTACGTTGATAAATTGGATATGCTCAAGTCAATTCACGAATTGAATAGGAAATCAAAGAAGTGATGGCATCGAATTGTTTGGTACCTGCTAGACGTATCACTTGTTAACTCCTACATTCTCTTCAAAGAGAGGTCAAATTCATCTACTTTGAGTTTGAAAGATTTCAAAATTGCTGTAAGCAAGGACTGATTGAAGCTGACGAAAACCTGCTGAAGAGAGGACGACCATTTTCTTCGAATTCTCATAATCCTTTCAAGGTCACAGTACCCCAAGAGATCCAGTATGACTCCTGTGCCCATATGCCTGTCCACGGAAATTCTAGAAGATGTGCCAAATGAAGCACTACAGCATTACCTCATAGGTCTAGATGGATGTGTTCTAGGTGAGTATTACAGAATTATCGATTCACTATGGAATGAAATGGTTATACCTTCATTACAGGTGTGACGTAGGTTTATGTCTTACTGACAGGAAGAATTGTTTCCATGAATACCATAAAAGATAATCCAGACTGATGATAGTATTAGGTATTTATCAAATCCTTGCTAGTGCCCACTAGTTTCACTGTGAAACCACACTTTTTTGAATATATTATATTAGTGAAAATTTTTTTCTATTATAATATCACCCTTATTGGTGTCAATTGATAATAATAAGCGTTGAAATTGGGAAAATTAAGAAAAAAATAAATTCCGGTGACAAAGGGTTAAGAAACACCCTGTACATATATAAAATATCGTTATGTATTTGGAATTTGTACACACAGTTCTAGAATACATATATTTGGATGGTAGAAAATGTAAGAGGCTTGATAAAACCATTAATGCACTCATGAGCTTTTCTGTAGATTATTTATATAAACTTCCAATAAAAAAAGAGCCCACTGCCAATAAATGCTGTCAGAAAAATCCAAAAAGCAGTTCCTTCATCAGACCAGAAGTGTTTGAAACTATGTAAAAGGTGCATGTTAGTGGTCTGATGTCTGGTTTGATGCACCAGAAGAAGAATTATGAGATGAAACGTGATGAAGATTGTTCTGGATATTTCATCAAGTGTGAAAAATGCAGACCTGAATCTTAATAATGTGTTCTCATATGTATGGACAGAAAATTTTGCACAAAAAAGGCGAATGAAATATCATCATGTTGATTTCATAGCCTCAATTATTTGGAGAACAGAAGTAACAGAACATGTTTGAGGCTTATAGCTGACGGCTGTTGTGGCAAAAAAAAAATTTAAACTCATTGGTATGGTATCAAAATGGCTTCATGATACAGGATATAAAATTGATAGAGTAGAGATAATCTTTCCAGTGACTTGGCATAGCTTCATTCTCCCAGATAGAGTATTTGCATTGACAAAAAAGAAAATTCGACGCCTATATGCTATCTAGATCTAAAGAGTCTACATCCAGATCTAGGCTAACGATGATTATCTGCGGGGTATAATAAAATGACGTCATCTTTGGACAAATTTGTAATTACCCTTCTAAGCTTCTGCAAGGTCGAACATTGGCATACAAGTTGAACTCCTTCCTCAATGCAAGATTCAAGGATCTGTGGCCTTTGCCGATGGGCGTCATGAGAGGCCCCTTGAGGCCAACCTTGTTACGATTAACAGATTCAATGGCGGCTTGTGGTATACCAAACTTTCCATCGGGTCCCTGAAAGACAAAGAAAAAATCGTTCACTTCGAGAGACATGTTGTATCAGACTAGAAATGGTGAGCTCTATATTCATTCATGTATTCGTGTGGAATAGCTTCCACACTCAAAGATTCAAAACGAAGGGCAGTTTTTGAATGTTCTGCATACAACATAGTTAAAACTGTTTTAAGAATAGTGTACTTGCATGCGTTTCAAGTAAAATCAGAGAGATAGGTACCAGTGACGGATTAACTATTAGGCAGAGTAAGCAACTGCCTAGGGGCCCCGCATCGACTAGGGGCCAGTGCACGCACCAATAAATAAAATTTTCAACGAATGAAAATTGTACTTGAAACTTCACAAGGTTGGTAGAATTGATTATAATTTGTATAGGAAGGTTGCCTCGATCGATAGTGCGGCAAGGGGGGAAACGGTCACTCGTGACGTCACAGGCAGTAAGATGACAAGTTGTCAACCTCAAAGCGAAATGTCATGAAATGTTGTTTACCAAATAAAATAAAGCATACAAACTTTTTGGTCTGCTCAGCATATTTATATTAATTTATTGTATATAATTATAAGTTCCATTATGAAATATGGATATTTATATTCTACTTCTGTATAATACCTGCAATCTTGGAAATGAGAAGGCAATTTTGGATGGATCCGTGAAGGATAGTTCAAGGAATCTCTCAAACATAGCTCCTCTTGCTCGAATATCTCAACATGAAAGCGCCTGTGATATCTTCTGATGTCCATTATACACGTTCAGCAAGAATCTCTGAACATTCACAACTGGTCTCTAACTGCAACTTCTGATCATTCTTCCATATCCATGACCTGTTTGTCCTGAGAATAGTCATATTGAGAATCGCAAACTTCCATACTTGTGGTGTTTCTTTTGTTGTATTTCGTATATTATTGATGGTATTCCTATACCTCCTTCTATAATTTAGCAATTCTGCTTGTAGATTCCGTTCAAAATCACATGTTCGTCAAGTTTTGGTATAAAATGAAATGAAATCACGTCCACAAAATTGAATCCATTTCTCACGAATAGACTCATCTTTTGGAAATGAATGGAAACTCAAAGTAAATTCACTAGTCTCATTACAATTATAAACATCTCACTCATTACAGTCGTACAAATTTGAACAAGAAGCGACTGAACAAATTATCATTTCTACATTTTTAAATTCAAATATTCAAAAATACTGACAAACTGTCACTTCAATGCATGCGCTGGCATACATATCATACACGAAGAGTTCGAAAGTGCTACATTTTTCGTGCAAATGAAAGGGCCTATTACGTCACGAATTACTCGCGGGGGACGATCGAGGCAACCTTCCTCTACAAAATAATCATCAGTTCTACCAACCTTGAAACTTCATACATACAGAACCATCTAGTATCGAGTAGTAGAACTAATAATAGCTATGTAGCAGACGTTTGCCAGAATACACCCATTGTTTCTCCATATTGGTAATCGTTAATTCAGAAAGCAGCCGGCGGGCGGTCAGCTGAGTACTAAGCCGCTTTCCAATTGTCACAGTGAGTAGCACCGAGTAACTCCGAGTAGATCTTGAACTGATCAATAGCGTTCCTATTATAAAGAGTTTGGAGCACTCGAACTGACCAATGCTACCTACCCCCTTCCCCTCGAGCACCAGGTTTTACATTAGGGTATCAAACTCAAAATAATCAGTTATGTCAAAGCCACGTCAAAGATAAAAATTGTATGTCAGACACGTCAGATTTTGCTTTTGTTGAAAAATATAATTATCCTTTATTTTTTATGTTGGTCAAAAAAACAATTGAAAATTAACGGAAACAATGAGCAGAATGTATCTCTGGGAGATAGATGACCCGGAAAACGGGGTACAGTACAGTATGTATTTGGACCAGGAGGACTATCTCAAAGCACAACAAGGTAATTTCATCATAATTATGATTCAGGTTTGATTTTGAGTGTTCAAATGATTCTGAATCATGTTTTCAGACTTCACATATGCTGAAAGCCTTCTGCGTCATGCTAGGAGTCAGGATGAACATCAAACTCCAGGAACAAGTAATGAAGCGCCTGTTCAAAAATCACTAGTTGAAGAAAGAAGGTTGGTTCAAGGAAATCCATTGAAGTAACAACTCCTCTCAAACATATCTGGCAATACAATGAGGTAATCACTCTTATAAGGTCCATGGAGTGCCACTATGAAGATCTAGCTCACCCTAAACGGCGCAGATCAGTTTTTACTAATGTGGTGAATGATTTATTGAGCAGCGGATTTGCTGTAGATGAAACCATGTGTCAGGCAAAATGGAAGAATTTGGTGAGAAGTTACAATATAGCCAAGGACCAAAAAACTCGCACTGGAAGGGGCCCTACTAGATTTCAGTTCTTTGAAGAATTGGACAATTTGCTGGGTGAGAAACCTACTAATAAAGCTAAACATACAATTGAATATAGCCTTCGATCATTCGTACACGGCACACGTATTTTAATACGCTCCACAAAGATTATATATCACCTAGGATAATCCTGGAATAATTTCATTCAAGTTGCACAATTCTCAAGTGAATCCATCAGTGAATAGTATTTCGAGTGATTTTTCAAGAGAAAGTTAGTGCAAGTGCAGTTATTGATGGAAACATATTCTAGTCTCTATCTGTGAGTACCCAAGGCCCATTATTGTCTAAAACGAATCAGCTGATAAGGGAAATCCACAAAGAAGATTCCATCTTTTTTTGTCCTCCGGTTGAACGAACTCGCCAAATACAGCTGATCGAATTGTTTCTGTGAAACAATAAAAACAATTTTGAACTCTGGTAGTGTATAGCCAAACAACGAAACAGATTTCTTATACATTGCATGATTGTTTTGTACTCTATTCAGAGTGGCATTGCTCTCAATTATTTTGACTCGTCTTACACGCTAAGGAAATGTCAAAAACCATCGATGACCTTTTCGAACTAATTGTGAGAAGCAACCAGGAAATAAAAAACGAGATATCAGAGTTGAAAACAACTCTTAGCGCTGATGTCTCGACGCTGAAGGCCAAAATTGAATGCTTGGAAGAAGAAAATAAAACTTTGAAGCAATGTCTTCTCGAGACTGAAAGAAGATCAAAAAAATTCAATATTATTATCCATGGATTAGTTGGTGAAGAAAACAACACTTCTTCTGATTTGGTGACATTCATCAATAAGGAACTGAGTATCGCATGTCAAAATCACGATTTTCGTTTCGTTACCAGAATAGGAAAAAATAATGGTGATAAACCAAGATCAATTATTGCTGAAGTATCTAACTTCACTTTGAAAACTCAAATTCTCACCACTTCTCGGAATAGAAATGCCAACTTGAAAAAACTCGGTGTACTGTTTTCCCAGGATTACGCCAAAGAAGATTATTTGAAACGTAAATATATGAACGAACAACTCAAATTGGCTAAAGTCACCGACGCTAGTGCAAAAATTACCAACAATAAATTATTCATCAACGGCTCATCTTATTCCTATGAACAATTAATCAAAGAAGATAAGTTTGGACAGGTGAACGATTCTGCTGACAGCTACGGAGACAAATCAGAAGAGAGGAAGAGGAAGTTAAATAACTCGCCCGCCAGCAGCTCCCCTGAGAATCCTAGGACAAGACTCCGTTCTCAATCTCAATCCCTACGCACTTCTTAACTTGTACCTGCAGGTTTCTCTCACACTTGTATTCACAGTATTCACACTAACTTCTCTTTTCATATTTATTCTTATCTTTTTTTGTTTCTCGTGTCATCATTGTGATCTTATTCTCATTTTTCATTATATGTATTCAAGCATGAATGTAATGAACGCGAAGACTCGACCAAAAATATCATAACGAATACCAATGCTAGACACTTTACACTTATAGGAAGTAGAAGGTCGTTTTAATTAGTTCAATAAATATTTAGGTATCTGAACTCGAATGCATTCAATAAGTATTAGAAGGATAGATTGATAGAGCAATATTATTACGTGAATTAACTCTTGTTGGAAATATGCATATTTGTTTCAAATCCCAAGAAATGCACATATGTAATAGGTTTATTATTAGGTACTTTACCTTTGTAACATTGTTCATAGTGGCACTTGGGGAATCGAACAGGAACAGCAAAAAGATGTGAATAAATGTTAGAAAAGAGTGTACAGGGAATTTATAACCTAAGTAACTGAGCCACAGCAGAGGGGCGGGCCAAAGATAGGTAGAGGCCAGATGAATTATTACAAAAATCAATTAGTTTAAAATCTTTTCAGATGAACATTGAAATCCTTTTTCTGTACTTAATTTTAAGTAATACCCAAGGTCAACTGACATCGATTTTTGCAAAATGATTAATGATAAAATTCCATTAAATAGAAAACTATTTCTGAAAACATCCGAAGCCACTCTTTTTGCACTTTAATTCGAGGTCAATTCAACTAAACGAAAATCTAATGAATTCTGATTGAATTTATGACCAAATCTCAGTATAAAAGCAGGGAGTTTTGGCATAAAAGTCAGTCTTGATCGAACTCTTGATACGAAGTCTCATGTCTTGAACCAGTAACTCTGCTAAACAGTCTAGTGATACGGGATATGTAGTTGATATTAGAAATTGCTTAAAAGTCTGTACCTAGTGAACATATTGTGTTGCTGCAATAGAGGTGTATCGAAAATTATTGAACTTTTATAAATAACCTGTATTAACTTTTCAAAGTGACCCGGTATAATAGTGCGAGTGTACATCATCCTGTCATCATGTATAACCAACCAATATTATGTAAGCACATCTGTTTTACTTCCATGTCAACTCTGCCTGTCTATATTATGATGATTGCTGAATAGAGATTTATGTATTTTGAACTGCCGTATTAATGTCTATATACACCAATCTTACTGCTGCCTAAGTATTCACGAACCCAGTGAATCAGTAACTTTGTGAAGACCCCTGTATAGGCCAACCCAAGAAAAGGGGTGCTTTACATGACAATCAAAATTTGCCATATTAACTCGCGATCCCTAATAGCCCATTTTCAGCAATTTAAAGATCGTGTCTATTTGAAGTTTGATATAATACTTGTCACTGAATCATGGCTTTCTGCTGAGATAACAGATGACCTGATAGAACTTAATGGGTATAGATTATATAGAAAAGATCGTCTGATTGGGAGGGGTGGTGGTGTGGCAATGTACTTGAAATCTAATTTGAAGGTTAACCCTGTACGAATAGATCCGAGTAACACCGAACAGTTATGGGTTTCGTTCTCCTTAAAAAATGAGCAATATGCACTTGGCGTTCTTTATCGTCCACCCAGGCAACATGTAAACGAATTTATTCATGATTTTGAAAGCACTCTGAGCATAATTGCCCCCAAATATGACTACCTATTATGTGCAGGCGATCTGAATATAGACATGTTGGATGTAGAAAGTAATGCTGCCATACTCCTGAGCAACACCATCTCAAGCTATGATCTCAAGAATCTAATACTCGAACCAACTAGACTCAGTCAAACCAGCGCCAAAGCAATCGATTTAATTTTATGTTCTGAATCTATTCTCGTCAATAACGTACTAGTCAGCGACGCCTCAGAAATTTCTGATCACTGCCTTGTATCCTGTTCGATTGGAACCGGCGACGTCTCCTCAGAACCTAATCTACGCACCTTTCGAGACTTCAAAAACTTTAATATCGACTCTTTCCTAAGTGATCTGATGCACACTGATTTCTCCCCAATCTACCACCTCGAAAATATCGACTCCAAAGTAGAATGCTTCAACAATATACTCATAGCCTTATATGACTATCATGCACCTTTCAAAACTGTGAAAGTAACTAGACCAGCGGCGCCCTGGATAACTGATGTTATCAAATTGATGATGTCATTTCGAGATAGAGCCTTGATTAAATTTAAGCGTACTAAACTAGAGCGAGATTGGAATTATTATAGAGATCTCAGAAACCAAACCAAATATGCAATAATTCGTGAAAAAAAGGCGTATATTCAATTTAGAACAAGAAATTGTGGAAACAACAGTAGGTCACTATGGAAAGAACTAGACAAAATGAATATTCATTCTAAACACAGAAAACAACTTATCCCTGAACATCTAAAAAATGCTCAAGGTATCAACAACTACTTTGCCACCTCTTCGCAAAGCGACTTACAACTAGAAGTTGATACTGTTAACCATTATTCCAACAACCGTCTGCCTGGTGCAGGATTATTCAGACTCGCAACTATTAGTGAAGCTGACATCTATAAACATCTCCTGTCTATCAAATCGCGAGCTATTGGTGCTGACCTCATTAGTGTTAATATGTTACTCTACGCTTGTCCTTCTATTTTAGAGCATATTTGTCACATTTTTAACTACTGTATAGAAATAAATACCTTCCCATCTATTTGGAAACGTGCTGTTGTTCTCCCTTTGCCAAAAATCAGCAATCCTACAGAATTCAAATCTCTTAGACCTATTAGTATTCTATGTGTTTTGTCTAAAGTACTTGAGAAGATCATTCATGCACAAATGAAGAGCTACTTAGAAGATTATCGTCTTCTACCTCCGCACCAATCAGGGTTCAGGACTCATTATAGCTGTAATACAGCACTCCTAAAAGTGACAGATGATATTCTCAAGCATATAGATGATAAAATGTTGGTGCTACTTGTATTTTTAGACTATACTAAAGCTTTTGATAGAATCAAACATGACCTCTTACTGGCCATTCTACATTATATTGGTTTCTGTGATTCTTCCGTCATGTTTTTCAAAAACTACCTATACAATCGTTTTCAAGCCGTCAAATTTGACAACCAACAGTCCGATTTCGTACACATCATGAACGGGGTACCGCAAGGATCAATTTTAGGCCCGTTACTCTTCATTTTGTACACTATTGATTTACACAGCATTGTCCGTTATTCCAGTAGTCATTTTTATGCAGATGATGTTCAACTATACCTTTCCTCTACTGAAAGTAACTTAGCAATTTCAGTTCAGCAAATGAACGAGGATCTAGCCGCTATAGTTGATATGTCGAGCAAATTATGTCTTTCTATCAACCCATCAAAGTCGAATGCCATCTTGTTCAGCAGAAACAAAGACATCCGAAATAGGTGCCTACCTCATATCAACCTTCGAGTCAATAACGAACTCATTCCTTTCACAGATACCGTTAAAAACCTAGGATTATTCATGGACAATACGCTACGGTACACGAAACACGTGAATGCTGTCATCAGAAGAGCATTTTGTAATCTGAAACTCATTTACTCCAACAGAACTTTTCTAGACAAAAAAAGTAAAATCATCTTATGCGAGGCCTTAGTTTTGTCTCACTTAAACCACGCAGATGTTGTCTACGGTCCAGCCTTACTCAAATCTGATCTGAACAGACTACAATTAATACAGAATTCATGTGTCCGTTTGATCTGTGGCTTGAGTAAACGAAATAATATATCAACCCCTTTGCGTGAACTGGGTTGGCTGAATGTTCAAAAACGAATCATTCTGCATTCATCTGTGCTATATCACAAAATCATCCTTGAGAAGAAACCACCATACCTATTTGAAAAAATATCCTTCAGGACAGACGTTCACAACCTTAATATTAGATTCAAGTCGAAATTGACACCACCTGTGCATAAAACTACTCTCTATCAGTCCTCCTTTTCCTATATGATCTCACGGCTATACAACAAGGTTCCAGATGATCTGAAAAAAACTTCTATTGCACTATTCAAGAACAAAATGAAAAAACTTCTGTTAATGGATGATATACATTTATAAACTTTCCTTTTTTTTCTTACTACACAATTTTGAATATTATTATAATCCATGTACAGTTCCACTATCTATGTGATCTAATACTATATTACTTGACAGGGGTGTTTTGTTATTTTCTCTCTTGTGTGTCAAACTCATTATTATAAAGTTCTATTTTTTATATATTATAATTATTTTTTTTCTTCTTTTTTTTTTCATTTTGACAGTATTGTTTTTCTCATATTATTTTTGATATTGTATAAATACTGATTATTTCTTTTCCTTCACTGGTTGAGTGTAAGAAAGTATTTACCCGTTTCGCACATGGGTAAACGCTAACTCTGCCTTTTGATAGTAAGTAACTTTTTTTATGTAAATATGTTCCATGTATTCATTTCCATACTTATTATCAATAAAAGCGATTATTATTATTATTATTATTATTAATCATCTTCGAGTAATCACAATAATACAGAAGAGGCAAATTGTGTGGTGAACGTAGATGAAGTGAATTGTACTTTGGTAATAGAGGAAGATGATTCTGATAGGGATAAAGCAAATAATGATGAAATTTATACCGAGAAAAAAAACAATGCGGAAAACAAAGAGAAGGGAAAAAAGCGCAAGAGAACTGCTAAAAATGAGAGTATTTTGAAAGAAATCAACTTAGAAAAATCAAAGAGACACCAAGAAAGAATGGATATTGAACAAAAAAAAATTGAAATGGAAGAACGAAAGTGCAGACTTTTAGAAAGGTACTTAGATTCCAAAGTTTGAGTACTTATATACTGAGATCCTTATATTAATTGATCCTGTTAATCCATCTGTTATCTAATCCAGAGAATTTAGTAGGCCTATATTAGAAAACTGTTCCTGTTATCTTCATTATTGTGGAATTTTGAACTTACAAAGAATGTAATTTCTTATTATTACTGTTCAAATTGTAATATAATGTATTTCAATAAACATAAATTTATTTATAGGTATTATCCAAACATTTCAGTGAATATTTGTTGTCGCCGGACGCCTCTCCCTTGATTATGGAAATCTGGTAATACAGCCAAATTACCTAGGTTATTCTCTACCCCATTAACATTGTTCTGGGTAACTTCATCATCATTGTTCTGGGAAACCTCATCATCTGATAAGTTGTTCAGCATACATATGTTATGCAAAACACAAGCAGCCATCACACATTTTGTAGGCGCCTACGACACGACATAGCTCCGTATCACATTTATTGATTTCGTAAAATCAACAACAACTATATGAGTTTAAATGTATAAATTTATGTTAGTCAACTAATTGTGCAATGAGTGGTGAATATAACAAAAAAGTGAGACCCAAGTTTGTGACCTAAGTGTATTTTGTTCGACCTGCTAAGCATAAACGAATCAGAGAAGGTCCGCATAAACTATTCTGTAAGTGAAACAAAGATACTAATACTAATAAAATCTTGATAGTCCTTGACCGCTACAACTGATAGTGGGAATATCGGTGAGAAGTGTGAAACCGATTTTATGATAGTATCGATAGTCGAAACCAATTTAGTCTACCATTGTTAGTCAGCGAGTATAATATGTATCACTCTGCACCTCATTCGCATGCATTTGATACGTAAAGATCGCTATTGAGAATGGGCGAAGAGAACAAAGTCATTAGTCTGCAAACTCTATATGATCAACTAGTTAAACTTGATCAAAAAGCTGATAAAACTCAAAATGTACTGGAGTCAATTCAGATTGAATTAAATCAAAATGGAAATAAAATAGTGAAATTAGAAGAAGAAATATCAGTATTACAGGATAAACTAAACAGAGTAGAACAACAATATAAAGATAAAAATCTCATCATTTTCGGACTGCCAAGTAGTAAATCAATTGATGTTAATTTGACCGAGTTCCAAAACTTACTTGGTATCCAATTAAATGAATACGATATCAGTAATGTCTACTACATTGGCAAAAATGAAAGCAATCGCCCTTTGAAATTGGAATTCGTAAGATCACTGAAGAAACAAGAAATCCTCAAGAATAGCTTCAAACTGAAAGGTACAAAAATATCTGTAACTCACGATTTCACTAAACAAGAACAAGTGATCAATAAGTATTTACGTGGTTATCTCAATCAGGCAAAACAAAAAAACCTGAAAAGTACAATCCGTGGTAATCGTGAACTTATAGTTAATGGAGTTGCAATTCACTATGAAGAACTAATAAAAAATCCCAACTTTGACTTTGCTAAATACATTGCAACCCACAATCAAGACCAGGGACTTGATCTAGAAGAAGAAGGGGAAGAAGCTGCAATTAGTAGTGATACAAACATCGTACCTAAGAGAAAAGAAAAGGTGGCTGTTTCACAAAAACAGAAGAAGAGGCGTGTTCAATAAATTTTGTATACTTAGTTAATGATCTGATTTATTTGTTCGCTCTATTCTCTCTGATTAGTTACATGATTTAATTATATTACTTAACATCTTCAATAATTGAGACGATATATATATATATAATTATTGCAACAACCATCTCTACATATTATTAACAATTTACTTGAATTACAATGGAGGAATTCATAATTGGATGTGTCAACATAAGGTCCCTTGGAGCTCATATTACTGAATTCAGAGACTTTATCGAATTATCTAAAAACTACCATATTTTCTGTATAACTGAGACATGGTTGAATGATAATATTAGGAGTGAAGCAGTTTCACTGAATGGATATAAATTTCACAGACGTGATAGGCAAGACGGCAGAGGAGGAGGGGTAGGAATTTATGCTAGAGATTATTTAAATATGACTCTTATAAATGATGTTATTCAAGTTGATAATATTGAGCAACTCTGGATATCTTTCGTGGTTAATAAAGAAAAATATGCTCTTGGGGTGATCTACCGTCCTCCAAGACACCCATTTAGAGAATTTATTGATGAATTTGAAAATACCATTAGAGAAGTATCTGTACAATATGATAATATCATATGTTTAGGTGATTTCAATATCGATTTGTTGAAATATAGCTCAATGTCTTCTCTGTTACTGAATACAACAGACTCCTTTGGGATTCAAAAACATGTATAGATCATATATTTATCAAAACCAAAGTCGATAATAATATTAAAATTAAACCAATATTACTCGAGACAAATATAACAGACCATTTCTCGACCTTGGCGCAAATCATCATAACCAAAAATGAGAAAACTCAAGTCAAAAATGAAGTCAGGCATTACTTGGACAAAAATAAATTACTCAATCAAATTAAAAATGAAAATTGGTTGACAGTTTATTCCGAAAGAAATGTTGAATCCGCAACAAAAGTATTCATCACCACCATTCAAAACTACATAAGTTCATGTACAAATACAATAAGAATAAGGGCATGTGAAAATAAAAAGAGAGAATGGATCACGAGAGGACTAGTGAATTCAGTGAATAAAAAGAATGAACTATTCGAAACCATGAAAAAGAACCCAACTGAGGATAATACAAACAATTATAAAAGATAAAGAAATAGACTGAATGAATTAATAAAAGAAACTAAATTTAATTATTATCAAAATCAAATCCAGAAAAATATAAACAACTCAGGTAATCTATGGAAATGTGTCAATGAAATCTGCAAAAATAACAGGGCCAAATCTGGCATCGATAAAATCATCAAAGAAAACCAAGAGCTTGCTACCAATGAAGAAGAAATCGCATTTGAATTCAATAAATACTTTTCGCAAGTAGGAAAAAAACTAGCAGAAAAAATCATCCCAAATAACAATCGCCCAAGAGTATCAATGACAAATCTTCCCAACTCTATATTTTTCGCCGAAACAAATGAACAAGAACTGAGGGATATCATTAGGAATCTGAAAGATAAAAAAGCACCAGGGATTGACAACCTAACTTCAGAAATCCTGAAGATGTTAGTAGATTTCATTGTACACCCTCTTATATTTCTGATAAACCGGTGTTTCGAAACTGGAGATTTTCCTTCTCCTTTCAAAATAGCGATGATCAAGCCAATTCACAAATCAGGTGACAAAACAATATTGTCCAACTACCGACCAATTTCCTTGATATCGAGTCTAGCCAAAATAATGGAAACTGTTATGAAAGATCGTATAACAAAATACCTGGACAAATATAAAATTCTCTCAGACAAACAATATGGATTCAGATCAAATATGTCGACACAAGATGCGATTAACCAACTATGTACCAGAATTAGCCAATGTATGGATGAAAAACAACCCGCACTTTGCATATTTGTCGATTTGGCAAAGGCGTTCGACACAGTTTCCCATGAGCAATTGCTAGATATATTGGAGGGTATCGGCTTCAGAGGAATACCCAACAAAATAATGAGAAACTATTTATTGAATAGAAAACAGCTTGTGAAAATCAATAATTCGTCAAGTAATACAGCTACTATCGAATATGGTGTTCCGCAAGGAACTGTTCTGGGACCCGTGCTTTTCAATATATATTTGAATGACCTATTCAAATTAGAGCTGAATGGAGAGATAGTTACTTTCGCAGATGACACGGCAATCCTGTTCACCAATAAAGATTGGAATACTTTGAAATATCAGGCAGAAACGGACTTCCAAAAATTAACAGAATGGTTTGACAGTCGATTGCTAACCATCAACTTCGGCAAAACTCATTATATCCCTTTCACATCCTACTCGAACAACTTACCTGAATTTGACTCACTATCTGTACACAGAAATGACACGTTATTGAACATACGGTCAGTTAACTCACTCAAATATCTAGGCATCTTCTTAGATAGTCATCTCAGATGGGATGCTCATATCAATTATGTGACCAAAAAATTAAGGTGCACTCTATATAAATTCAAATGCCTCTCTAAATTATTGAAAATGGAACAATTACGAATTCTATATCATGCTCTGGCAGAAAGTCACCTTTGCTATGGTATCATCGCATGGGGAGCTACGAACAACGTCCATATCAGAAGCCTTGAAGTCATACAAAATTGCATCATAAAAGTCATATATAAAAAGCCTCGCCTTTATTCTTCTGATCTGCTGTACTCAGAAACAGCATTCATGGACTTGAGACAGTTGTACTTTCTAACTATAGTAGTAAGGCAACACAAATATAAATCGGACCTCATAGCTATATCGCATGACTATGATACACGCACTAAAGCTAGGTTCAATAAAGTACCAAGATCAAAAAAAAATATATTACAAAAGTCCTATTTCTACTTAGGTCCCAGACTATTCAATGAATTGCCATTGCAGCTGAGGAACCTTCATTCAAATTCACAATTCAAAATTAGAATAAAAAAGTGGATGAAAGAAAAGCCAAGAATAGAAATTCATCAACTGATCCACAGTAGTAATACATCATAACACATACCAAAACACATAACACATAGCATAATAAAACACATAATCTCAAGCTGACCCTGTGATTCAATCCAGCCTCGAATCCAGCTCATCAAGAATGATTCTTACGCGGGCTGACTCTTATTTGGAATTTGAAATTTCATCAATGATAATTGTATGCATTCTTTAAATCATTCCTTCACTTCATCTTTCATTTCATATAACCTGTTTTAACTATGAAAAATATAAATTATTAGTCTTAGGTTACCATGTTAACTGTATTGGCATATAGGTAGGGAATTATATATTAAAAGTAACCCCAAACATACACGTATCAGACGTCATGAATTTAGAACCACTTTCAAGGTCTACCTTTAGTGGCATCCAAATTTATTTACCGTCTCTCTTAATATACCTATG